ACACTTATTTTCAAGGAAAATTTTTAACACAATGTTTCCTCCTGGGAAGGAGTGAAAGGTTATGGTTTCTATTCAAAACGGTAAATGGTTTAGAGACTTAGATTTTTTCAACTGACTTCTAAATGAAAACGTCCATGCGACTAACAGATTCCACCAGTGTTTTTTAGAATGATGTCTTTGTTATTAGAGGGACGTATTAAATAGTTTTAGCCTCAGGCGATTAGCATAATAAAACAAGGTATAAATTAGGTTACGACTTTAGCTGAGGAGCTATTCAGAAACGGATCAGTTCCAGACATCTCAGTGGCAGAAGAGATTCCTGTGCTTCTGAGCTATTCTCAGGGCAGCATCTCTCAGCACTGGCAAAATTTGGATAACTCCAGGCGGAAAGACTTACAATTCTGCAGGTTCTATAAGAGTTTGTTTACTACGCGAGGCGTCCTTCTTACTTATTGTCAAATTTTGTCTCGAAAAACTGACTGAAATTTCAGATTTATCAAAAATGGAGATTTAATTTTGAATTTTTAAAAGTAGAAATAACAACGAAATCTATCGACAAAATTTTCATAAGCAATATAAAACTAATAAAATACCACAAATTCTAAAAAAAAAATGAAATAAATTTTCGAAAACCTCGGAAAATATTGGAAAATCGCAAAAATTTGTCAAAGATTTACGGAAAAGTACGACTAATTTGATTTAAGTATAAATCAACCGCAGAAAATTCATTTATTTATTTGAAGCGCTGCCCTTAAATTCCTACCAGGTATTTTCCCATACATACATACATATGTATGTTTATAAGTATGTAATATTCGGCATACGGAGTCTGCTACTAGTTATCAACGCAATTCCCCGTTTGCTGCCATTCCGCCAAATTTATGTATTTTTCTTTCCTTTGCGCATTTTTTCATTTATTACCGCTTTGCGAATACACTCACCTTGGGTCGGGACATTGGTCACAAACTGGACATTCACTTTCCGGCGGTCGCTGTCCGTAGAATTTAATTTCCTTTCCAACATATGGTATTTCGCTGTTCGGATCTTGCGCTGAAAATTGAAAAAACCAAAAATCTTAATTTAAAAAAAAAAATGTAAATTGCTTTTGCTAACAAACTTACGCGCTACTTCAAAGTTAACCATTGTGGCATTCATTTCATTACGCGCCACACAATAGTAGTAACCGAAATCGTCTTTTCGCAAATCCGTTATTGTCATACGCATAGTAGTCTTGTAGCTGAAATTAAGGAGACATTTTGGAATTGGTAATTTAATTTCTTATTGAATATATCTGTATATTGTATTTGTATTTATGTATGTATATTTGTATGCGTTAGCCTTAGCTTACTTACCCATCTGAATAAGTTTCGATTCTGTATTTGTCGCCTGGGTCGAGAGTTTTACCATCGTAAGCACGTTCCCAATATTTAATAGCTTCAGGAAAGGCTTCCACCTTAAATTAACATTTAAAATTTTTGTACTATTATGGAAGAAAACTTGAATAAAATACTTAATATTTTCAATGAGTTGAGGTAAATCTTCTCGTTAACTATAATAACTGAATTACATACATATATGTACATTTACGCATTAACCATCAGTGTTGTCGATAGTGATGTGCTGAGTTGTCGGTACCCAATACTCGGTACCAAATACTTCAGAAAGATTTCGGTACACAATACCAATTCTATACATATATTTAACCTTCGCCAAAATATAAAAAAAAATGTTGTTATTTTATATATCTATGAGATCGCCTAAATAACAACAAAAAATCGACACTAAAGTTAGTTGCAGATTTTAGACATATTTCTTGTCATAAAAGCTGCATCAACTTATTAGTGAGAAATTAATATACAATTTTCAAACATGTGGGAACTTCCACAAAAATATTTTCGGCTGTGAGCGTTCTTAAACCGCTTTCTTTTGACAGCCATATTGCAGTCCTTACTTTATCTTAACAATTTACTTAAACTGCAATTTTCAAACAGGTGGCAACTCTCTTATTTTTTTCTCTCTTTTTTAAGTTAGACCTCTAGCAATATATCGGTGAAAACTGTAATCAATTTCATGCATTATTTTTCGAGTGATGCGCGTAGAAACATACAGCCAGACAGACAGACAAAAATTCTTAAAATAGTTGACTTGGCTTCTATTGCTCTAATAAAGACCCCCCATACTAAATTTTCTTGAATATCTGTTTTGTACAGACATCGACCTGTTACAATTTTATTATATGTATAGATAAGACGATGCTTTCCCAAAATTTGAACAATTTGTACTGAACAATGTTGAAACCACATATCGCAAATATTGCTGTCGTAAACAATACTCTCTCATCGCCTTATTCACCTTATCGCATCAGTAAAGTACCATTTTATAAGTTTCAACCTTCGTAGAACTGAAATTCAAGAAAAAAAAAACATCGTCCGATTCATCTTAAAAAAAATCTTTCTCTGCAATGTGGCGACGGAATTTTTTTAATTTGAATCAGCATCAAAAGCTCTATTAGCCCTTACACTCGATTTTTGATAGGCCAGGCTCACCTGATTTGTATTTTTTTCCATATTTTTGGTATAAGTGCGTTCTTATTGGAAGCATAAAAAATTCGATGTCGAGTATCGAAAGTATTGGATTCATTTTAAATCGGTACCGAGTATCGAACCATACTTAAAAGTTTCGACTCGGCGCATCATTGGTTGTCGACTTTCGTGCGAATTTTTGTTTTAACTTGTTTGTTAAAAAAAAAAATATTAACATTTAAAAAAACGTAGATACCGTTAAGAAAAGCTATTTAACTATATCAGCCAAGAGCTAGAGCGACCAATGAGTTTCTAAATTTTAAATAAACTTATTTTATATTCCACTACGAATTGCTTGAGTTAGCATTAAATAAGCCAGACAAAAACTCCACTCACATCCTTAAAAAAAATTTGTTTTCTATGTGTTTTTTTCTTGTATTGTAAACCGAAGAGCAACGACAAGGTTACAAAGGTTGAATGATGCTGCAGATGATAAGCATTGTTCCACTGAAGCTATGATGTGCGCAGACGTCAAACATACTAAGGGACAATAACAACCAGTAACAGGTGGAGAAATAAGTATGTATGCAGACAGATGTAAACAACTTTAAGAAGAGGCAGCACAACACGCAATAGCGCCACAACACGCAATAGCGCCACAACACGCAATAGCGCCACAATAGCATAAATATTAAAAAAAAAAAAACAACACAATTGTCATAAAATAATGACACCCCTTGCGTTGCTATCGCTCTGGACCGACGTAGTGGCTTTAGGTGTTTTGATGACAATAAAACAATAAAGGCTTAAAAAACATTTCGCCTTGTCACGATTAATTAAATTTTCTTCAGGTGTATGACAGCAGTTTTTATACATACATATATGAGGTAGACAATGTACACTAGGCTGGTGCAAAAATGCATGTGAAAAAAGTAAAGTCCGAAGTTCTTCATGAATTTTATACCTTTTTTTTTTCATACAAATGTTATAAAATTCTTGAAAATCAATATTTTTCGATCGGAAAACTATGCTTCGCTTCCGTAGACTTCCGATAATAATACCCAAATGTTTATTTTAGCAGTTTTAAATACTAACGATTTTTTATAGGTCCCCAATTACATTTTTAGTGGCTTTTGCAGAAAAAATAATTGAGTATTTTCATTGAAAGTCTCCTGAAAAGAAAGAGAGTTTTCCCATCAAACAAATGTTGATTTTCAAGAATTCTATACCATTTTTATGAAAAACAGTTTTTCCTTCATAAAATCTATAAAAAAAAACTTTGGCACTTTGAGCGTGTTTTAAATATTTTTTGATTTCAAAATAAAAAGACAGGGGTATATTTTTTTATGTATGGAACATTCCTAGGGGCGAGAGCATTTAAATTCGGACTTTACTCCTTCTTGATGACCCTAATGTACTCACACATGTACATATTTATATAGTCATGCGTGTGCGTACGTTTATCCTTCATATTAAGGTCTATCCGCACACATCAAAATATATCGTTACCTGAAAATTAAATGGCAAAATTCACACTAAATCACCCGGTAATGGACTATAAAACAGCATACCAAAAGTTTTTTCTATAAATTCTAGTTAAAAAGCTTGCGGTTTAGATAAAATTTTTATAATTTTTACACAAAGTTTGAAATTATGACTTAAGTATATATTTATTTTATAGAATGAACTTGTTAAAATTGACTTATTTTTCCGACACTACCGTTAGTGTCAAAAAATTCCACTCACTAATTTATTTTACAATATTCACAATACTTTTACTTTTAATGATAAATATTCTTCGGTTATTTTTAATCAAACTTTTGACGACAAGTTTTTAGAATATGAGAAGTTTTTTATGATGTCTGTGCAAAGTTTGATAATTTAATATATTAAGAATGAACATTTATTAAAAATTTACCGAAAAATATGTTTTCATGAAGATTGTGATTTTTATAAAATAGATCAGTGTGTGAAATTTTTTGACGTTGACTGTATATGTATAATGAATAACAAATAACGAACTGTCAAGGTACACTAAACAGGACCCACTTACTAACAAAAATAACTGAATGTGAACTGAACTGAATACCAGTGCTATTTTGACTGAGACGAAACGGTGACGGTGACGGTTCGGACTCCGAACTTCGGTGTCGTGACGAAACTATGACGTGACTGATGTGTGCGTATAGGCCTTTAGCCAGCCGGCTACGTTGAGGTAGGACTTGCTCGCAGCACATTCATGTCATTCTTGTCTTTATTACATGCGCTGAGTTTTCATGCTTGTTGAATTTGTCATATCCATTGTTTCTTGTTCTTGTTGCAGTTAGTGTTACATTGAAGTTGATATGCTCTCGTTATGACTTTAAACCTTCAAGCTAAACGTTGCGGCAAATTAGCAACAGCATGCACATTTATTTTTTCGTTATAAATTTATTTTTTTTTACCCTGACTCGTTAAATTTAGAATGCGCTGCACTGAGCTAAGCAGGGAATACCAACGATTGTTCTTATGGAATTTATTTTTTATATTATGGAATTCGAAATACCACCTTTGGACAAGACGGATAAAGATGTAAATAAATGAAGGATTAACTAGCATTAAGCACTTACGGTTAGCTGATCACAAGGCATCGATAGTAAAGTTAGATAATCAACAGAAAGGATGAAGAATTATAATTAAGCTTAGCAAATATATATATTGAGGAACTAAACGTGAATGCAATTTTTTATATATTTGAAGGTCATTGGAAGACCTTGGCATGACTTGAAATATACCCGATACATACTCGTTTATTGATAAATTTCGATAATTTGATACATTTCTGATAATTCAATGAAATTCAAAAACAATAAAATCAACAAAGGTCGATATCTCGACTAATTTCGATAACTGTGCTTTTTTAGGGCT